ACCAGCCCACGGATGTCCCTGTCAGCACAGCCACATCCCACTCTCGTAGTGCACTGCTAATTGCTTCCTGTCTGTCCGTGGTATTCGTTGCCAACGGCTTGTAGGATACCAGTTTCCTCAATGCACATATCGAGGGCACTGCAACCGCCATACATCTGCCATGCCCCCCAGGCTCCCTCTCTGGCCCGTGCGATTGCTGGGCGGTCGTCGTGTGAGAGAGTTTCAGCAATATCCTCTCTCCGCCGGTTCTCAAAATGCCTGAGCCTCCAACACCGACTAGTACGAGGAGGGAGGAGGAGGAGGAGGAGGAGGAGGAGGAGGAGGAAGAGGAGGAGGAGGAGGAGGAGGAGCGCACGTAGCGTTGGCGAGCCACTGCGAAGAGCAGCGCGAGCAGCATGCCGCGCCCGGGCCAGAAAGGCTTGCGACGCGACCTCGTGCTGGGCAAGGATGGGCCGAAGCTTGCGGTAAATGCGGAATGTTAAAATACGCCAATGGATCCTCAGACGGCCGTTCACCACGCCCTCGTAATTAGTCGGACTCACCCCCCAAACCAAGTCGAACCAGCGGGTCGAGGGAAAGGAACGAGGGGTGGATCTCAGCCGCCTTCCAAAGAGGCTCGCATAAGCGGTGGTGGGAAATGGCATCAGGTCCGTCAAACCCGAACCTGCACCGACTCTTTGCAATGATCTTCACTGTGCTACTTGTGACCCACGCGTCCCACGCGCCTGATATCGTCTGTATGTGAGGCCACGCTCTCGATGGGGCCTGGATGGCAAGGACACCTCAAGGCGCATCCATCGGAGGCCAATCTCATGCATGGGTGGGAGAGAAATAACAGGGAACCGAATGGAGAAAACACGAGCACTGAGGGAGGGAATGGAGTCGGGAATAATTTGGATCTGCGGGGCGGCCTCTTCATTTCAATCGCCGGCTTGGCCTCGCGGATCGTGTCGGCACGAACTCTGCGAAGCGGGGGGGGGTTAAGGAAGGGAGAGGAGAAAAGGGGTCCAAGCCGCCAGAGGTCGGAGGGGACGAAGGAGGAGAAGTACTGGGCGATCGAAACAGGGAGGCGCCGGCACGGGGTTGCCCATTGGCCGCCGGCCGCTCGCCTGATCGCACCCTCGGAGAACGCGCGTGCCTGCAGGCCACCATCTGCTCTCTCCCAGCATTGGAAAGACCTGCCGCTGGCTCGCCAAGCACGCGCGACGCCCCAAATCATCATTGGTTCTGGCGCCCCCAGCCATCGAAGGGAGCGAAGCCCTGGCAGACGAAAAGATGAAAAGATGAATGGGGAGACGGAGGAGCTTGTGTAGAGCGCGAGGTCATCGCTGCAGCACGCGCGAGGGGATGGGACAGAAGTGGGCGATGAAGGAACGACATGAGAGAATTAGCGTGCAGCACAGCCTCACGCATGCATCAGTCGGGGCACGAGTGGCAACGACCTTTCGGCAACGTGATCACAACTTCGGGCCTCCAGGAGTGTATTGGCCAGTGAGCTCGACCACACGTCCAAACTGGATAGCTAAGTTTCGGCAAAAACTACACATTTCAAAGGCGGCCCATTATGGTGCAATGCTTCGCCTTCTTCCGCGAAGCTCAGACGTTTGCTCAGCATCAAGAATGCCCCCAAGCGGGACCAGGCAGCTTCTCGAGCCGGAGGTCGAAAGATCGAGCGCGGCTGATGCTTTGAAGGGGGGAGAAGCAAAGGAAGGGAGACGAGGTCAGGGAAGGTGGCCCCGGCGTCGTCGGCACGCGCACCAGCAGTGAGCTCGAGAGGAGGAAAGGGGAGAACGCGCAGGAGCCGCTTCTCGCGCGGCGAGCCGCCAGGGAGGGCTGGAAAGGCGCTGGGAAGCGTTGTCTACCCCAGCGGCGGACGCAATGCGCCTGCAACATGGATCCATGCTAAGGGTCCACAGGGCACCGCTCAATGGGCATCCTTGCGCCCCCCCACTTTCGCAATCTAGAAAAACGCATCCCTTGGCCGACTTTGAGGTGCCCCACTGAGTCTGAGCCGAGGGCCTCGATCGCAAACACGTACTTGTTGAAGATGGTGATGATGAGGTTGCTGATGATGATGCTGATGATGCTGATGATGATGCTGCTGCTGATGATGGTGATGATGGTGATGATGATGCTGCTGATGATGATGATGATGATGATGGCGACGGTGTTCGTGATGGTGATGGTGACGGTGATGACAACGGTGGTGATGGTGGTGGTGATGGTGATGGTGATGGTGATAGTTATGATGGTAATGGTGATTTGATGCTGCTAGTGACGATGGTGATGATGGTGCTGATGATGATGATGATGATGATGATGATGATGATGATGATGATGATGCCGCTGCTGCTGCTGATGATTATGCTGGTGACTCTGTTGATGCTAATGATGATGCTGATGATGATATTGCGTTGAGTAGGGAGGGTCATCCAATCTCATTTGGCAGCCAGAAGCGCTGCAGCGTAGGGAGCCGCTTTGGCACAGGCACGTGGCGAAGCCCAAGATCGCAGCGCCTATGTTTAATGGCATAGTACACGCCGTACATGATATAAACTTGGGTGATCCACTCCGCATCCAACTCATGAGGCGGTCGCTCTAAAGGGCCCCGCACAGCACGCAGAAGATGCTGCCGGATTGCGTCCAAGAGTGCGTCGCACTGCGCGTAGTGCGACACGGTGTCCATTGCACCACATCCAAAGCAACACGGTCGAATTATATCTTCGTGCAGTCTATGCGTGGTGGTCCAGGCCCCAACGAAGGTTTTCAGCACATCGCGCCCGCGACCCGGTGAGGGCGGGAGCGGAAGTCGGAGAAGAGAGAGTCAAAGGAGACAGAGGGAAGAAGGGAAGAATGAGGGAAAACTCGTGATGTCCAAAACACAGAGAAGAAGGGAATAATGAGGGAATAGCGGAGCGCCAGAGAGGCCGTCCAACACCTCTGCTCTGGAACCTCCGGGAAGGAGCTTCCGAAGGAGCTTCTGGAGAGCTTGACACCACATGTATTGGGAAACAAATGGGAAAGGCCTTCCGGGACACGCTGCAAGTTCAGGCAGGGCGCAGCGGCGCTCCTTGCCGGAAGACGGAACGAGCTCCAGGGGCATCCTTGCCTACCGGCTTCAAATCTGAAACCCTCTCAGCCCTCTACGAGCTATCCGGGAACTTCACACATTCCCGTAGCCACAAGACAAGACAGCTTGGGCTGCTGAAGCGTATGGAGAGTAGCCGTGTACGCAGCTTTCGGCGCATAAGCCCCCCCTTTCGTCAAGTCATGTGTGACCGCTGCCGCCAATCGACTCTCCACCTGTCCAGAGCCGCTGATGGAGCTCATCGCCACCCGGCGCAGGTTCGAGCCAATCGCCGGAGCCAGCCAGTGCTCCTCCCAGGGCGTGCCACTGATAATGCGCACGGTTGGAATATTAGCATCTCCCCACTCGGCCATGTCGTTCCAGTGCTGCTTCCACTCGAGTGTATTCATCGCCGCGCGCCCCCGCGCTGCGAGGGCGGTTGCATAAGCAGACCTCGGCTGCACCATCCCGGCCTGAGCCACTTGCGCCCCAGCCGCAAACGACAGAGACGAGGGGGGAAGGTGGAGCACCTTATTCACAGCTGCAAGAACTACTCTGAACAGCTTTTCGGAATTGAGGCCCAAACTGACCCCTGCAGTAGCAGGCTTATGGGCGCAATGAATAGGAACCCTCTCAGCGGGCACCCCTGCAGCACCCCAGAGACGATCCAGAACATGAACTTTAGCCCGTGGCATCCGCGCCCCACTGCGCAGACGATGTTGATGATGATGAGGATGAGGAAGATGATGATGCTGATGATGGTGGTAGCGATAATGATGATGATAGCGGCAATGATGATGATCATGCTCACAATGGAGATGGTGACACTGATGGTGATGGTGATGATAGTTATGCTGTTAATGATGATGACGAATATGGTGGTAATGATGATGGTGAGGATGATTATTATGCTGGTGATGATGCTAACTACGATGATCGTAATGATGATGTTGGATCTGATGATGATGACGACAACGACGATGACGACGATGATGATGATGATTATGAAAATGATGATGATGATGATGATGATACTTATGGTGGTGGTGATGGTGATGGTGAGTATGATGATGGTAATGATGATGGTGATGATGATGACGACGACCAGGATGATGATGCTGATGATGATACTGATGACGATGAGGATGATGATGACTTTGGTGATGCTGAGAATGATGATGATGATGCAAAGTATGATGATGATGATTATGATGGTGATGCTAACTAAGATGAAGGTGATAATGGTGATGACGACGACCAGGATGGTGATGATAATGATGATGATGATACTGATCATGGTGATGATGTTGGTGATGATGGTGATGAGGATAACGACAACGACGACAACCACGACGACGATGACTATTATAGCGGTGATGATGATGATGATGATGATGATGATGATGATGGTGAGTCTGATGATGATGATGATGGCGATCATGGTGATTATGATGGTGGTGAGGATGATAACGTCGACGGCCAGCATGATGATGACTATGGTGGTAATGGTGATGATGACGATGATGATGATGATGATGCTGATAGTGAGGATTATGATGATGCCGATGCTGATGATGGTAATGATGAGATTAATGATGCTGATGATACTGTTGATGATGATGATGATGCCAATGATATTGTTCATGATGATGATAATGGCGACGACGATGAAGATGAAGATGAAGATGATGACGATGATGATGATGATGATGATGATAAGGATGATGATGTTGATGAGGATGATGATGATGATGACGATGATGATGGTGGTGATGATGATGCGGCTGACGATGACGATGATGATGACGATGACGATGGTGATGATGATGGTGGCAATGACGATGATGATGATGATGATGATGATGATGATGATGATGATGATGATGATGATGACGATGATGATGTTGATGATTGGCGGTCCTCCACCTCGTAGCCGAAAAACCACAGGATTGACCCAGGCATCTCGGAGTTCACGTCCTGGCGCTCCGTGCCCCCCGCGCGCGCGCGCCGGCACTCCGCGGGGCAACGCGTGGCCGTGATCAGCAGCAGCGAGGAGCGGCCGCGGCTGCCGTGCCAGAGCGTGCATAGACCGTGCGGCTTGGCAACGGAGCCACAGAGGAGAGAGAGAGAGAGAAGGGGGGGAGAACGCAGGCGACGCGTGGCCGTGATCAGCAGCAGCGAGGAGCGACCGTGGCTGCCATGCCAGAGCGTGCATGGACCGTGCGAAGGAGCCACAGAGGTACAGTCAACCCGTGTCATAAGGACGCACGATGATGATGCAAGGGTCTGGGAAGGCCATGGCGACATGTTTGCGAGCGGGGCGCGGCCAGCGAAAGTGTCCAAGGATGGGCCGAAGGGGAAGGATGCAAGGGTAGCCTTGTAAAGTCGCTCATCCTTATTATGCGGGTTGACTCTAGAGGGAGGGAGAGAGAGAGAGAGAGAGAGGGGGAACACAAAAAACGACGAGAGAGAGAGGGAGGGGGGGAGAGAGAGAGAGAAACAACAACAACAACAACAACAACAACAACAACAACAACAACAACAACAACAACAACAACAACAACAACAACAACAACAACAACAACAACAACAACAACAACAACAACAACAACAATCATTTTACCCGAACGCTCAGTGTTCTCACCAGTGCCAGGGTTTTCATGCGACGCGAGACAATACCCCCACTTCGTGGGGGGGCAGTTCAAGCTCTACCAAATATCCAAACGACTCTTCGCGACCACCCAAACCCAGCTTCCCGCCCTATGACGTTGGGACACTTCACTTCGTGGCGTGCGGACGACCGTGGCTACTACACTGGCGTGGGGTACACACCCACAGAACTTGGTCACTTATTCGGGGCGCGCGTGTGCCCAGCATCCTGCAATTGTGACATACAATACATGACACAGACAGACAGAGAGAGAGACAGAGAGCAGACAGAGAGAGAGACAGAGAGAGCGGAGTTGGTCACATTTTTGGGGCAAGTTCCTGAGATCGTCGTGTTTTTTGTTGGTCTTGCGCGCGCGAATGTCCACTTTACTTTTTTTTGCAAGGGAGTATTGAAATTTGATTATGTTAGAACAAGAAAAAGTAGCTCGCGCGAGCTCATGTAACATAAATGTTGAAAAACCAGAGTCGGACAGCGCGCGCGGGATGAAATTTGGACATTTTTTTTTGAAAAACCAGTGGGTTTTTGATGTTTTTATGTTGAAATCGTTACGAAACCTAAGGTTCTGGAAGGATTTCGTCTTGCGCGCGCGAATGTCCACTTTACCTTATTTTTTGCAAGGGATTATTGAAATTTGATTATGTTAGAACAAGAAAAAGTAGCTCGCGCGAGCTCATGTAACATAAATGTTGAAAAACCATTGGTTTTGTGGGATTCGGACAGCGCGCGCGGAAGGACATTTTGACAATTTTTTCTTAAAAAACCATTGGGTTTTTGATGTTTTTATGTTAAAATCGTTACGAAACCTAAGGTTTTGGAAGGATTTCGTCTTGCGCGCACGAATGTCCACTTTACCTTATTTTTTGCAAGGGATTCTTGCAATTTGATCAAGTAAGAACAAGAATTTTCATTTTCTATTGTTTTTTGCAAGGGACAGCGGGGGGGAACAAAACAACCGGATCCGGACATAATCCACTTTTCTGAAGCTTTCGCGAAAAAATGATGAAAATGTAGCTGCGGCCTAGGCGCGGCGCAGAGGTCGCGCACCAGGGGTCCCAACAATAATAATTCTTTAGAAGGAATAATATTCAACAACAACAACACCACCACCAACAACAACAACAACAACCATTTTAAGGCTGTACGCTCTTACTTGCCCGCGAGCCATTCAACACGTATACCCTACACCCTCGATGCCCGCCCTCTTCGTCTTCGATCACACCCCTTTCGGTGGGATTATTTCTCTTTGCTGGGGCCGGCGGGCTTAGACGTACGGGCAAACCGGAACGGGCGGACAATCCTTCGGGGGCGTACATCTCTCTGCCCGCCATTGGAATTGGCGCGGGCCCTGCAAGAGGAGGAGGGGAAGAACGAGGGAGAGTGGGAGGAAGGGGAGGGGGAAGGACGAAGGAAGAGGGAAGATACCACGTTGTGAAGGCGTCCTTGGCGCGCGCGTGGTTCCTGAGCGCCGAAACGCAATTCCAGAATAATTTGTGAGGACGTCGCACGCGAGAGCGCAGTCCTGAGTACATTGTGAGGAAATCTCGGGCGGAAGCGGGGGCCCTGACTAAGTTGCGAGGAAGTCTCAAGCGGGAGCGCCGTTCCTGAGCAAATTGCACGGAAGTCTCAGGCGGGAGCGGGGGTCCTCACTAAATTGCGAGGAAGTCTCAGGCGGGAGCGCCGTTCCTGAGTCAATTGCGCGGAAATGTCAAGCAGGAGCGGGGGTCCTGAGTAAAATTCGAAGAAGTCTCAGGCGGGAGCGCCGTTCCCACGTAAATTGCACGGAAGTCTCAGGCGGGAGCGGGGGTCTTGATTACATTGCGAGGAAGTCTCAGGCGGGAGCGCCGTTCCTGAGTCAATTGCGCGGAAGTCTCAGGCGGGAGCGGGGGTCCTGAGTAAAAATCGAGGAAGTCTCAGGCGGGAACCGTTGTTGTTGTTGTAGCCCGGGGGGCAGGGGCACAGTTTGAGCAGGAAGACTTTCCTTGAGAAAAAACACAGTGCGAGCCCCGGGGGTGGCACTTCAATCGAAACAAATCAATGTGCACCGGTGGGGGGGATCAACAATACTTGTTCTTCAAGAATGAGAGTTCAACAACAACAAGGACAGGGATCTTCCCTGGCCCCCGGCGCTCGGGGGACGTGCGGAGCTCTCCTCCAGGGGGGGGCAGGAGTCGTCCCCGGCCCCCGGGGCCCCCCAACACCCCCCCCCGCCCAACAACACAACAACAACAACGGACCGGTTCAAATAAAAAAAAACCTTCTAGTTCTATTAACACTTTACACCGGACTCGCTTCGCTTACTTGCGTGCGCGCGTAAGCGAAGCGAGTCCTGGTGCCATGCCTAATAGGATCCTATTAGAGGTGGATCCATCCCTAATAGGATCCTATTAGAGGTGGATCCATCCCTACTAGGATCCTATTTGAGGCGGATCCATCCCTACTAGGATCCTATTTGAGGCGGATCCATCCCTAATAGGATCCTATTAGAGGTGGATCCATCCCTAATAGGATCCTATTAGAGGTGGATCCATCCCTAATAGGATCCTATTAGAGGTGGATCCATCCCTAATAGGATCCTATTAGAGGTGGATCCATCCCCTGGATCCATCCCTACTAGGATCCTATTAGAGGTGGATCCATCCCTAATAGGATCCTATTAGAGGTGGATCCATCCCTAATAGGATCCTTTGAGGTGGATCCATCCCTAATAGGATCCTATTAGAGGTGGATCCATCCCTAATAGGATCCTATTAGAGGTGGATCCATCCCTAATAGGATCCTATTAGAGGTGGATCCATCCCTAATAGGATCCTATTAGAGGTGGATCCATCCCTAATAGGATCCTATTAGAGGTGGATCCATCCCTACTAGGATCCTATTTGAGGCGGATCCATCCCTACTAGGATCCCATTTGAGGCGGATCCATCCCTAATAGGATCCTATTTAAGGTGGATCCATCCCTAATAGGATCCTATTTGAGGCGGATCCATCCCCAATAGGATCCTATTAGAAGTGGATCCATCCCTAATAGGATCCTAAGAGGTGGATCCATCCTATTAGAGGTGGATCCTAATAGTGAATCCCTAGGCATCTCTGGAATCTCTAAGAATCTCTGGAATCCCTAGGAATCTCTGGAATCCAAAAAATCTCTGGAATCCCTTGGAATCTGTGGAATCCCTGAGGAATCTCTGGAATCCCTAGGAATCTCTGGAAACCCTAGGAATCTCTGGAATCCCTGGGAATCTTTGGAATCCCTAGGAACCCCTGGAATCCCTAGGAATCTCTTGAATCCATAGGAATCTCTGGAACCCCAAGGAATCTCTGGAATCCCTAGGAATCCCTGGAATCCCTGTGAATCTCTGGAATCCCTAGGAATCTTTAGAATCCCTCGGAATCTCTGGAATCCATAGGAATCCCTGGAATCACTAGGAATCCCTGGCATCCCTAGGAATCTTTGGAACCTATAGGAATCTCTGGAATCCCTAGGAATCTCTGGAATCGCTAAGAATCTTTGGAATCGCTAAGAATCTCTGGAATCCCTAGGAATCCCTGGAATCTGGAATCCCTAGGAATCCCTGGCTGGAATCCCTAGGAATAGGAATCTTTGGAATCCCTATAGGAATCTCTGGAATCCCTAGGAATCTCTGGAATCGCTAAGAATCTTTGGAATCGCTAAGAATCTCTGGAATCCCTAGGAATCCCTGGAATCCCTAGGAATCTCTGGAATCCCTAGGAATCTCTGGAATCCCTAGGAATCCTTGGAATCCCTAGGAATCTATGGAATCCCAGGGGAATCTCTGGAATCCCTAGGAATCTCTGGAATCCCTAGGAATCTAAGGAATCACTGGGAATCTCTGGAAGCACTGGGAATCTCTGGAATCCCTAGGAATCTCTGGAACCCTCAGGAATCTCTGGGATCCATAGGAATCCATGGAATCCCTCCGAATCTTTGGAATCCCTAGGAATCTCTGGAATCCCAAAGAATCTCTGGAATCTCAGGAATCTCTGGAATCCCTATGAATCTATGGAATCCCTAGGAATCTTTGGAATCCCTAGGAATCTTAGGAATCCCTAGGAATCTCTGGAATCCCTGAGAATCTTTGGAATCCCGAGGAATCTCTGGAATCCCTAGGAATCTCTGGAATCCCCAGGAATCTATGGAATCCCTAGGGATCTCTGGACTCCCTAGGAATCTCTGGAATCCGTAGGAATCTCTGGAATCACTGGGAATCTCTGGAAGCACTGGGAATCTCTGGAACCCCTAGGAATCTCTGGAATCCCTAGGAATCTCTGGAATCCCCCGGAATCTCTGGAATCCCT